GTCAGGTAGGAAGCTCTCGGGACATCTCGGTCTCCATGGGGACTGACCCCACCGGACCCCTAACCACGGCAGCTTGGGATTCAAATCTGAGTTCGTGAGCTGGCTAAAGACATCGATTGCTGCTTCCCACTGCTGCCCCGCAAGTTTTGGTGAGCTGTAGGATTGGACCTATCCCGCAGCTTGACCTCAAAAGCTTCAGCAAGTTCATATGTAACAGCTTTTCTGCCAAACAGATCTCCTTCATAATACTGAACGGTACATTTTTATTCAAGATTCAGATGTCTACATTTTTGCACTTCTTTCACAGGCAGGCTACCTACCTATGTTCACCTGAGTGCTGGAGAGAAACTCCGTCTCTACACACAGCCCGCTGCGACGGCGCTGCCAGGGAGAGCTCAGGCTAACTCTGCCCAGCTGCACCGCCTGTCGTTTAAGCGGGCAGGAAGATCACAGAACCACGGCATGGTCGGGGTTGGAAGGGACCTCTGGGGGTCACCCAGCCCAACCCCCTGCCCAAGCAGGGTCACCCAGAGCAGGGGGCACAGCACCGCGGCCAGCCGGGGTTTGAGTATCTCCAGAGAAGGAGACTCCACAGCCCCTCTGTTCCAGGGCTCCGTCACCATCAGAGGGAAGAAGTAAGATGACAGCAAGCAACATTTGAAGAGTCAGTGATAAATGCATGACGTCTGTTATGTCTACTGACCACTTCTAATTTAATCAAGCGTTCCCAGCACGAGCTTCTTAAAACACACCACGTGTTTCCTCCCGCCACTTCCATGTCTTGTTTCCACAGTCAGAAAACGCTTCCTGCCAAACTCACGAAAGGGAAATGCAACTAAAGCAATAAACGCAGCCTTCATAGAGCAGGTGAAACCCCAGCTGCGGGGCCCTAACAGCTCTCTAGCTGGACTTGGTATTTCGTCTGTTAATGCCAGGTAGATTGAATTTATTTTTAATAGAAATATTTGTTATTATTTACTAATACTTATGTTAATAGTATAATGAATATTAATGTGTCATTTTATAATATTCCTAGATACCTTATATTAATATTGTAAATGACTTATACTGACTTGGATCAAATGAAACATTTCATTTAACTCACAACTATTATTTAAGTGAAAGCTACAATACAGAATTGACTGTTTTCAAGCAGAGCTGAAACATATGTCATAAATAAATATGCTATGTTAATAGTATAATGAATATTAATGTGTCATTTTATAATATTCCTAGATACCTTATATTAATATTGTAAATGACTTATACTGACTTGGATCAAATGAAACATTTCATTTAACTCACAACTATTATTTAAGTGAAAGCTACAATACAGAATTGACTGTTTTCAAGCAGAGCTGAAACATATGTCATAAATATATATGCACACACAAATATATGCTTATACTATTGTATTTATAAATACATAAATTAAACCACAAATCAACTAAAGAGCTGCAGTGCTATTTTGTGACTCCAGAGGGATTCAGGAAAGTCCAGCACTCGCCGTGATCTGACTAAGGGTACATAACCATCTATATTTAGACACTTAAGTTTGAAAAAAAAATCACAAACTGACTTAAGCTTTTCTCCTTTCTTTGCTGCCACTTCCTCACATAGCAAGTCAAAAAACAGATGTTTAGGAGACATTCTGCTTTTTATGTATCCGCTCCCTATGCCCTGCCTCACTGTAAACTTCCCCAAGTGTTTGCACAACGTTGTGCCCAGTCTCTGAGCAGCAGAAGCGATTATTTCCCAGCCCCTGTATTTGGCCCTTCTGCTCTCCGCGGGTCAAGTGGAATGGCAGGTGAATGCCAAGCCCTTTGCAGGGAAAGGGAGGTGGTTTCAGAAGACAGAGTGGGATTTTTCCCCTGGGGAACCAGAGGAATGAGGATGAGAGTAGAGAGGATGCACAAGAGCCAGGAGTTGGCAGAGTTCACCTTGCACGGGCTGAGCCCTCATTTCAGAGAAAGCTTTGTCTCCTGGGCCTCTGGACTCTTGTGTGCACAACTTCCCAAGTGAGAGGTCTGAATTTGTCTAAAACAAGGCAGATTCTTCATTTTCTTAGAGAGAGTAACTTTCTCAGCCCAGCGGCCAGAGCATTCCTCTGGAACCGGGGCGACTCAACACAGTAGGGAACTGAAGCCCAGCTCTCCCTATCTCTCATGATGATCTTGGTCACCAGAGCACACACGAATTCCCCCCACTGTGTCCCTTGCGTTTGGGTGTCCTTTGCTACATGCCAAGCCTCTGAGCGATCCCAGCCAGGATCCCAAAAGATTCCCTTTTGACCTTTGTGTTCATTAGACAAGGCAATGAGTCATGAAAAAGAAAACCCACTAGTTTCCATCCTGCAGCACGGAGAACACATCCTATACCCTGCCTTAAAACACGGGCAAGGGAGGCCTTTACTTCCCTTTCAGCAGTCTTTCGGTAATTGGACTATTGCATAACTGCTGTTTTGTTCGTTACAGGCGTGCTTTTAACAGGGTTAAGCATGGAAGTTCTCTGCTTGCGGCGGTATCAATGCACCCAGTGATGTTATCCTCCAAAAGGAGCAGCAATTCCAGTTGCACAAGTCATCTCTGGTGGCTGACGGGAAAACACATGCTGCCAAAATCAGATATGGATTTGGAGTTCCCATAGGCAGGGCCCGGGATGGGATCCTGGGCAAAGCGTTGAAGGGATGTAGGGAGAACCTGGGCGAAGCACGGCACTCCCAGGAGCACTGGTTAGGAGTGCCTCGCCTTCGGGCTTCATCTCACCTCTCAACCTCTTCATGCCACTATCGCCTCTATTCCACCCCCTTCATAAAGTCCCCATGAAACTGTGCCACATCAGAGAACAGGTGGAGGTAGAGGAGATGCTTCAGCTCTCAGAAAACACAGCGGATTTTTATTTCAGTACAAACATCCCGCTCTTTTAGACAGATACTTACTCTTAGCTCAGGGGCAGAGTTAATCATAGAGGTGGAGTAGGCTCTTGGCTTCACTTTTGACCTGGGGATTTCTGCAGATCTGTTACTGCCACGCGCAGGAAATAGCTGAGTCTAGTGGTAAGGAGGGCAAGCAGTCCCTTGGTGTTACTCGGGGATTTGAGGGGGAATTTTCTTTTTTTGCCTTGGACATAATTGACATTTCAGCGCACACCAAAATTAGATCATAAAGCTGCAAATAGTAACTAGAAAAAGTAGGATCCATAATCAAATTTTAATCCCCCTGTGTGTGTGCATACATATGCAGGGACACAGAGAACCTGAAAGAAAACAATCAGCAAAACCTGTTCCAAGTAAACCGATTACAGCTCCAACACCTGCAAGGTGACACCACCCTGTTAATTTAACATAACATGTGCAATGTAATACATCATAAACAATAAAGCATACCCTTCAGCACCTGATAACATCCTCTGCTTTTTCACGCCTTCGGAGGACTAAATGTCGTGTTCAGTAACGCTCCCTAAGACACACAGCTAAGGAGAAGCACCACGAGGAGTCAGAATCGGTACCTCAGTGCTCAGCCAGGGGTAGGAGAGACAACTTCACGATGTCTTTTCTCCGGCCAGCTGACACAATGATGGGAAACACATGAACATTCATCACAAAGTTTTCTCAAGTAAGTTAATCAATCACAAATGGTACGCAGTGCACCATAATAAATAATGGGCAAACTATTAATCTGTTAGTATAAATAAAATGTAATGCTTGACATGCTAAAGATAATTGGGTTTTTAGGAGCTCCTCGAGCTGGGGACGAGTACCTCTATAAATCCACAGATCACAGAAACATGAAGCCTTGAGGTTGGAGATGATGAGCAGCAGAAGTCATCATGGTCAAAAGGACAACGTTTCCACAGCACCGAACCAGAAAGGCTGCTCCTAATCACATGCACTCCAGAAGCGTTAAAAAACCAACCTTCATTTAAGCAAAGGATCAGCATTTGAGCCCAAGTCTTCCCTTGCACTGGCCTCCCTCACCAGGCAGCATCTCTGCCAGCCCAGCAAACGAACACTCTGCGTTCACGCCGCAAGGTTCCGTAGCAGCAATGCCTACAGCAGTGCTGCACGACTGCATGTCGCTTCCCTTTGCTAGGACCGAGGGTTGCGGTCACTGAAAAACATTGCAGAAAAGACTTATTAAAAAAGTCTAGGCTTACCAAAGAAACAGAAGCAGCTGCGTGCAGCAGGTCGCGCTATCTAGCTTGCAAACAAAGCTTCCTCTGTTTATGCTTCATTAAGATGTGACATGCCAAATGCAGGCATGATTTCCAAAGCCCAGAGGAAGCTTTGACTACTGCAGCCTCAATTCCTTTACTGAACAGACAGTAATAGAGATTAATTTGCTTTGTAAGATGCCACTTGAACAGAAAAAAAGAAAACAGCAAAAAATTAAAATCATTAACATCAGAATAATGTTGAGGTAAAATTCTGACCCCAGTGAAAAAGCTTTTCAGCGATTTCAGCACTGCCCGACTGCCGCTCCAGTGGCTTAAAATCAGATAAGTAGAAGCTACCACCATAAATGAAGAAATTAAATATCTCAAGTATAGATCTGGCACCCCTATGAAGAACAGTTATTACCCTGAAGAAAATTATGAAAAGTTATGACATAAATATAACTGAAATCATCTTAAAGTTGTCTTGCCAAATAAGGGTATGTAGTAGAAAAAGCACAACATTTACAAAAGCCTACAAAAGAAATCGGAATGCATGGCTATTATTTACATATTTTTAATAAATTAATACATTATATCATTCTCAGCAGAATAATTCCTCGTCATCTAGGAAGGAGTTTCACAACAGTCATGTGACTCATTTTTACTGCATCTGGGAAATTCCTCTAACGCAATCTCCATGCGAGCCGAGCAGAGGCGCCGGGCACAAAACCCTATATAAGCACGATGGGTCGCCCCGACCAGCATCGGCAATCCTCCGGGACCAGAGAGGCCAGAGCTCCCCCGCACCAGAGCTAAACCACCCCACTGAAGGCTCCTCTCCAACCATGAACGGCAAGCTCGTGGCTGTCCTGGCTCTGCTCCTGCTCTCAGCGGCCGTGTCTCACGGTAAGCAAACCCCTCCCGAGACCCCCGCGGCCGCAGCGTCGTCTCGGCACCTACCGACCTGCTTCTCCTTGCAGGCAGGTAGCTCTATACTTGCTTCAGCAAATTAGTTTCCTTCGAGAGATTTTCAGCGACTTCTTTTCAGTCAGAAATCTATCACGCAGCCCTTGTGCTGAAGAGTTACTGACATCTTGTGGGAACAATTTCAACCGTGCAACCTAAATTGGCTTTGTTTCTATGCTTCGCTGGCAGTGTACGCAGCCAGAGACAAGTGTTCGAATGTCTCTCTCCCTTCCCACGCAAAGAACAGTTTATGATCTCATATTTGTTGCTTAGTGATCACACTGCCTCAAGCAAGTAATATACAGCTGGGAACGGAGAGCAAACAATATGAACTTATAGCATGGACAAGCTAGGGTTGGACTAGATGACCCACAGAGGCCCAATTAATGAAAAAATCTAGGGCTCTGTCTTCTGCATAGTTGCCAGTTTGTCGATCCAGATATTAAAACGATGCAGCCAACCGTAGAGCGTGGTCAGCACAAGTGACCACGAAATATGGGGGTTTCTTTTAAAAGATGTGTTAATTCAGTTTTAAATGTACTTGGGCATCAGGTCCTCTGAAACCAATAAGCAACTGATCTTTCCAGTGTGAGGATTTAGGCAGCTCGGACAAATGCAGTATTTTAATTGAGAATGTTGTTAAAACAGAGCAGTCACGCTTTCCGTCCGGCGCAGTGACGGTAGGACCGCCTCTCAAACCTGATCTTCCTTTTCTGCTCACAGGCAGGGCCCTGGCGAGGATGGGAACGGAGCTGCGGTGCCAGTGCATCGCCACTCACTCCAAGTTCATCCCTCCCAAATCCATTCAGGACGTGAAGCTGACGCAGAGCGGCCCGCACTGCAAGAACGTTGAAGTCATGTAAGTAGCTCCGCGCGAGCCTCCGCTCCCTCGCCACGCGCCGCTGCTGCGGCCGCGGCAGGGGCTCTCACGCCTCGCCAGCACGATGACATGTAGTCAGATCTGGTCATTCTTTTGCAAGAGACATTTTTAATACACCGTGTTTTCACCGTCTCTATGACCTTACATATTCCTGAACTGATCATTATTTATCTGTCATGGGACATATTAAATATTGCTGGTGGCAGAACATGAGGTTGAGGGAACTGGGCTTGTTCAGCCTGAAGAAGAGAAGGCTGCGAGGGGACCTTATAAATGCCTACAAATATCTGCAGGGTGGGTGTCAGGAGGATGGGGCCAAGCTCTTTTCAGTGGTGCCCAGTGACAGGACAAGGGGCAATGGGCACAAACTGAGGCACAGGAAGACAGCCTACTGTAGGTGACCCTGCTTCGGCAGGAGGGTTGGACTGGGTGACCCACAGAGGTCCCTTCCAACCCCTACTATTCTGTGATTCTGTGATTCTGTGAATTTCAAGGACTGGTCAGTTCTTAATACATGAGGTAATAACGTAGTTTAAATCTTGCATTTATTAGGCATGGAAAACTCCCACTAAAACAATCTGCAGAGAAAAATTAAGTTCCCACAAGCAGATTCAGGGAAACAATTCAACTAATCTGGTCTTGAATAGCATGGAGGAGGGACTAAAATCTTGAAATCCTTCTCCTGTTTTTCCACATTTTCACCGCTGCAGGTTTCAGCCGTTGTGTGAGCAAGCTTTGGAAATGTAAACAACTCCAAACCAAGTGCCACATGTATTGAGAAAGATTTCTGGGAATGTGCGGCCGCTTTGACCGCAGGCACACAGGCTCACACAGCTTCTGCGCGGTTTTAGTCTCCACAGCCATGGAACACATACCAAAACAGACAAGTCTAACCTAGAGAGTTGGGATCAATTTCTACTAACTAATCTAAAAATGTAATATCACTTTCTGTGAATAAAACAAATCCATGCAGCAGTTTCCTGACTTTGCTTTATTCCCCGTTTTGCAGAGCTACCCTGAAGGACGGCAGAGAGGTGTGCCTGGAGCCCACTGCTCCCTGGGTACAGCTGATCATCAAGGCAATCTTGGCCAAGTAAGTCCCTTTCCCTCTCAGTTTGGGCAGTTGAGTGGTGACCCTCCCAAAAAAAGACAGTTTGCAGGATTTCTTAGTGATAATTTCCTTTTTCTCTTAATAAGATTTAAAGAACAAGGAAACTTACTGCTTAATTATAAAATCAGTCTTAGTCTTTCTCACTCCGCTGCAGCGTCCTTGCTCAAGCTGATGCGCCACTACTAAACACTGGAGTACCGGCAACTCCGTCTGGAGGGAAGGGAACACAGAAGTGTTTGGCTCCCTTTGAAAAACGATGCTTAAAAAATTCATCGTCCCCTCACTTACAGCAGCATGCCTTAACAATTCCTATTTCAGAGTTAATGAGTTTCTTGATGCGAGTAAATGCAGAAGCTCCTGCTGCAGAAGTTTCCTAGCTAGGCACCCGATCCGCACACGCTGGGATTTCAGTAACCGCTTTCCAAACAGCACCTTTATTCTCTGGATGCCTCAAGGCAGCACATAAAGTTGGAAGCAGACCACTCATCCTTAACTATTTGTGCAATGCTAAGCAACGATGACTGCTCTTGCTCCGTTTAAATAACGCTCTCCCCTCGCCTCTTAACAGGGCTCAACTCAACTCTGACTCGCCACTCTAAGAAACACCAGGACAGAAAAACCTGGGAGCTGCTCCTGCTCCTCACTCGAGAGAAGCATTTGGCAGAAGCCTCCGTCAAGCAGCGTGCCACCTTCCACCTCCTGCAGCAGTGTTACTACGTTAATTTATGGATTGTATTTATTTATTTAACTGTATTTATTTAAGAAAGTCTTTCAGAATGGTCGGTGCTGTCTGTGGGACACGCTGTTCATCGACACTGAAGACGCTGAGTAGGAAAAGTGGTTTGCTAGAGGAAATGAAGAACCCTTGGCAGCCACTTCAGCCAAACACAACTAGTTAAGTGCAATGCACTTACAGCACAGCTTGTTTACACTAAGCCTTACTATTTTGCTACTAGACCAGCAAACCGGTAATTCCTCCTGCTCCCCTGGAGTGCACTAGTATGTTGTGTCAACAACAGCCTCCCGAATCACGGTCAGCCCGTGGCTAGGCTGCGAACGGTGATTTCTGACTTTAGAAATGTAGCCTAGAGAATCTGTAAGTCAGGGGGTTAGGTATTTATGTATTGTGATTTTCATGGTATTTATAAATGTATTTATTGAGTAGTTTCTATACAAGAGAGAAAATGATGATAATTTATTTAATTTCTACTGGATTTTCCATT